TACCAATTGCTAGTATTAACTCGTAAACATCCAAAAAATTATTAAATTAGTGATAGGGTTAAACCCAGGTCAATTCATCTTCCCTTTTCACCAGTATACAACTAATTCTAGATTGTCGTTATCTAAATAGGAAAAATAGTGTATTTTATTTTTCTAAGGAATTATTTTTTCTTCAATCTAAACTAAGGGGAAAAAAAAGTCAGATTAAACAACCATAACTCTAGGATCTCTGCCCTTTCCATGAGTCATATTACTAATTTTAGATTCTCGTTATCCAAATAGGAAAAATGGTGTATTTTATTTTTCTTCAATCTAAACTTGGAAAAAAAAAAGAAAAAAGTTAGATTAAACAACCATAGCTCTAGGATCTCTTTCCTTTCCATGAGTCATACTACAAATTCTAGACTGTCATTATCCAAACAGGAAAAATCATTTCTGATTTTTAATCATGAAATTTGTTCATTACAGGTGTTAGAAACTTATAATTTTAGTTTCTAACTCCATAAATTAAAACCAGTTTCTAAAATTCAAAAACTCTTGTAAAATAATTGTTTAGTTTCTACTTGTAGAATCTGGAGTAGATAACTTCTTTCATGAACATAATCCAACTGAAACTTGGATTAAAACTATGTACTAAATTTTTTGGGGAAAAAAATAAAAATTAAGAGATGTACATTTTTTGAATGGGTAGGTATGAATTTGGGTCAAGAGTCCAAATGAGGCAGGGGAGGGGGAGTTGCACCATTAGAATATATGCTGTAGTTATGATAATAATGTAGCATATAATAAGCAACAACCTTGGGATGTCTTGTTGTCCCTATGTCAAGTTTGCACATTCAAAGTAGATTATACATAGTCCTTAACACCACTACTAATCATTTGAATTTGTCCACTTTCCTTCCTTTGCTTTATCACCCATTCACCCTACATAGATTCTTTACTTTAAATAAAGCCATTTTAAGAATTCATCTTTTCCATTTAATTGTTTTAATAATCACCTCAATTATGCAAAAGCAGTTTTCAACAACCTCCAACATGAGACTGCTATATCCTCATTTCAGATTCTGAGGAATTTAATAAGAACAATTCATTAACATTGTTTCATAGTATTTTAGTTTTTATAATAGAGAAGTTGTTTAAGAAATTAAGTCAACAGGGGCTTAACACTTGACTGTTTTTCTAAAGTTTGTTTTTGAAAATTTTTTATATGAAATTTTAATTAGGTTCTAACTTTTTTATTCCCCCTCATAGAATAATTGATCTTTTTTGTTTTTATATTGGGATTAAAGATTTGGATATATACAATTTTTTATTTTTCTAATTTTATCCTTAAAAAATAAAAATAAAGAGACTTTTTATAATAAGATAGATAATTGAAATTAAGAGATAATTAAAATGTTAAAAGAAGAAAAAAAAAACATTTATCTCTTAAGATATGAAAAAAATTATTATTATTATTTTTAGACAAATTTTAAATAAAATTTTTATCATTCTGAAACAGAGAAAGTAATTAAACAAGTTTTTAAACCCTCCAAAAAAAATAAAAAA